TTAGGGCTTTAGGGCTTTAGGGTTTTAGGGCTTTAGGGTTTTAGGGCTTTAGGGCTTTAGGGTTTTGGGGTTTTGGGGTTTAGGAGCAAGCCTTCAAAACCCCATGACCCTTAAAGCTCTGCAACCCCAGAGTCGAGCATCGATACTGGGAAACTTACCCCGGCTTACTGAAGCATCCCGGAAGCAAAAAGGGCTTAGGGTTTAGGGTTTAGGGGCAAAGCCTTAAAACCTGAAGCCTCGGCCGTCAGGGAGACCGCCAGGACTTGCTGAGCCAGCGGGCGTTGCAGGTTCTCCGGCTGCCAGATTGGAAAGGGACCGACTTGGAAAGGTTTCTTTCAAGCCATGAACCCGAAACCCGAAACCCTAGAACCCAGATTTTTTGGGGCTTCTGCTGTAGGGCTGGCCTGTTGCAGCTTGAAGGCTGGGCGCAAGGGCCTGAGCCGTCGTCTGGGGGAATGGACGAGTACATGAGGGGATGTCAGCCTTGATTAGCGACGAAGTCCTCGAGAATTGTGTGGGAGAGGTTGCGGCTACTGTTTATAGTTCTTGGTGGTTTCGGATAAGCTTCCACCAGCACAATTCATACCCCCCCCCAAATCCTGAACGGACCATTCGCCCGACCTCCATGAAGAAGGCCCCCAAAGTCCAAGCATGTGTTCTCAAACCCCAAGGAGCAGCAGCAAAAGCTCCGTGCAGACCAGCAGCAGCGTCTCATCGCACGCCTGGACTCGCAGCTACAGAGCCCCCCGGCGGACGAACTTCTAGGGTTTAGGGTTTAGATCTCGCGTCACCACTTCTGCAAACTTAGGTTCGGCAGGAGGATTTGGGTGCGGTGTTTCCACTTGGGTGTCAGCAAAGCAACGGAAGGATGCCCGCTGCATGTCCCGGATATCTGAACCGTAGACTCCCAAAACTGAGATACCCTATTTGAGACCGTAGAGCCGAGAACACAAGCTTCTTTAGTGGTATTCAAGTTGTTCATGCCCCTTCTTCACCTTGTAATCCTCAAAACCCTTAAACCGCGTAGCCCCACCAGAAACCCTTCAGACTCCCAGCCAGCGCCCATGCTGGCTAGGGACCCAGGGTGCGCTCTTATTCCTTTATTTGGGTGGTATAGATCACGTTACAAGCCCCTTCAAACCAAAGAAGGGCACCCTTGTTATTCCTAGGTTACTCTTGGGTCTTCATTTGGGATGTCCTCCCTTATGCTAACAGTCGATGATAGTACTCCCCATTACAATACCTATTAAGGACTGTTAGTATAGGGGGGAACATCCCAAGCCCTAAACCCTAAACCCTAAACCCTAAACCCTATCAACCCGGAGGTCTCGTCGAGCTGTTGGCCAACATCCAGGGTCAGCGGGTCCTCTCCGGCCAAGGCCGCGCAGAGGCCAGCCGGCTTCCCTTGCGTAGATACTCGGTGGGTTTAGGGTTTAGGGTTTAGGGTTTAGGGTTTAGAGTTTAGGGTTTAGGGCACTCTAGGTCCTTTGCGAAACCTGTACCTTATGGTTTGGTTGGGGGCATTGTTGGACAAATTGCCATGTAGATGCTCCAGAGCTTCCCTGAGAGTGCTGCCACCAAGGCTGGAGCCACGAACCCGAAAATCCTAGAACCCCAAGACCACAAAACCCTCAAAGCCTGAATCCTAAACCCCCAAACCCCCAAACCCTAAACCCCAAACATCACGCGCGGCCCTCAGATCATGCAGACCCCAAGCATGAACCGCAAAGCCTCTGGCAGAACTCTAGGCTTGTTTGTTGGGATGTTCCCCCTTAAACTAACAGCTCCTTGATGGGGAACATCCCCCAATTCGTAGTAAAACCCTAAACCCTAAACCCTAAACCAACTTGTCTAAGTCAGCCTTTAAAAGGGCTCTCAGCGAGCCGCCACGAGGTGAGAGCAGAGGCTCTCCGGGACTTCCGAGACCGCGAGACATGGCTCCAGGAGTTGTGGGGGGGACGGTTTAGTGGTTAGGGTTTAGGGGGTTTTGGGTTTTGGGTTTAGGGCTTGCGGTTTAGGGTTTAGGGTTTAGGGTTTATAGGGTTTAGGGTTTAGGGTTTAGGGGTTCCGTTGCCGCAGATTGCCAGTAAGTTCGGATCCGGCTGAGCCTGGAGTCAAAAAAAGGGAGTCTTTAGGATTCAGGGTTTAGGTTGGAGGGCCAACACATCACTCAAAAAAGGGGCCAACAACAAAAGAAGCTTGGATCCAAAAAGCGCTTTGGGGCTGGCCGCACAGAGTCCTAGTTGCAGAAGGGGTTTGAGGGTTTTTTTGGGTGGGGTCGGGGCTAGGTGCAGGTGCCATGACAGGCTTGCGCTGTGAGGTGAGAAGTGACAAGTGATAAAGGGCCTTAACATCACACGCCCTGACAAAAACTAGGGTTTAAGGTTAGAGGGCTTATAGGGCTTATATGCGTCAGCATAGGTGCACCCCCCCCCCCCTCCGCCCCCGTGGGATCCCCCCCCCCACCCCCCCGGCGATGATTCATGGTGGGTTTTGGGCTCCCCCCTGTGGTTCATGGTCTGTGTTTCATTGGTTTAGGGTTTCGGATGAGGCTGTAGAGTTCAGGATTTTCACTCTCACCCCAATGGTCCATTGGTTCACGGAGGGTTTAGAGTTTAGAGTTCAAGGTTTTGGGGTGATGGTAGGTTTACGGTTTCCCCTCTCCCCCCTGTGGTTCGTGCTGGGTTTACGGTCCCCCCCTCGGTTCATTGGTGGGTTTAGGTTTTAGGGCTTACGGTTCAGGGTTTAGGTTGAGGGTTTCTCTCTCCTTTCTGTGGTCCGTGGTGTTGCAGGGTGACGGGCAGGGTTTGCGGGGGGGGCGGGGGGGGGTTCGACTACGGCATATAAAGGGTTCACAGGGTTGATAGAGGGTTTCTAAAGGACTTCTCAGGCTAAGAGGTGCATGAAGGGTTCTTGAGGGGTTTACATGAAGGGTTTATCAAGGGTTTATAGAGGGCTTTTGCAGGATGATCTAAGGGTTTCTACAGGGTTTGCAACGGGTTTATAAAGGGTTTTAGACACAAAGCAGGGCCCTATAATCGAATACACCGGCTGGGAAAGGAGCTCCGCGAAGTGGAGCTCCAACAGCGCGAGATCTTCCTGGAGGCTCCTCGGGCTTAGGGAGGAAGGCCCTTTGGAGAGAACGAGTAGGGTTTAGGGTTTAGGGTTTAGGTTTAGGGGTAAGGGTTAAGGGTTTAAGGGTTTAAGGGTTTTAGAGGCATTTGTGTGCAGGAGCCTTTTCTTAGAATGGAATGGGCATTACGGCATTGCCCTGGGCTGGGGAAGACGGGGATCGATATTCAAGGCGGAAGTGGATGTCGTGGCATGGCGTAATCGTCTTCAGGCAACAGCAGTGAGCACAGTCAAACGTGTTTGTTGTTGCAGTCAGCGGCGGAGATGTTTTAAGAACACTCAATACGTATATAGCTGCATGGTCCATAGACTATACCCAGACTGTGAAGGGTACCCCAGAACAATGAATTGTAGCCTAAATTTTGGCATCCTTCTTACTGACAGCTCTTTAATAGGGGTTATAGTAGGGGGTACTGTACTCCCTACTAAGGATCCTCCTGCTTTGGGTTCCCAGTGTGACGCCCCCCAAGTTGCAAGGGTGAAGTAGCCTCAAGGCCCAGGCATCTAACTCCCACGGCCCTCCTAAAGGGCTCTAAAAAGTTAATAGTCTTTCCCAAAAGAGGGGTACCCCTTCTATTCCCCCAATAGACTAGAATCCCCTTAAAGGGACCCCAAAAAGGGTACCCCTACTTTCGGAAACCCCCATAGGCGTCTTTGGGCGCTTCGGGGCTCCGCAAGGTTTCGGATTGCGGGCTGTTTTCCCTCAGGAGCGACTCCGCATTGAGAACTACGAGCAGGTTGCGGAGCATTGGAAGTCCGAGAAGGGGGCCCGGCTCTGAGCGCAGCTGCGCACTCTGCAGTCGATTAAGTAGGCGAAGTATCCTGGTGCAACTTCTGTTGTAGGTTCGCCGTAGAGTATAATTATGAGCCCTAACCAGCTCCACAAATTGACCTTTAGCTCCCTGGAGGACTGGACGCGAGGGGACACTTGGAGGTTCATGGTACTTACTAGCCAGTTATAACTGCACTTGTAACTGGACCTATAACCATATTAAGGCGCTTAAGGGGCTTATAAGAGGGTTAATGATAAGTTATAAGTACAGTTATGATTGAGTGCCATGAACCTCCAAGCAGGTTCGCATCTGGAAAAAGCCATTCCCTCTGCACCGACATGGTCAAACAATATGAAAGCCTCGCTTGGTTTCATATTGCGGGCACGCGTAGGGCCTACACCTGGCAGGTGGCGAGGCGAGTCCTGCTGAGGTTCAAAGTTTTAAGCCGTTTTTCATTGCAGCTCACGTGGCATTAAACATGAGTCTTGTCTAGGAGGCTCCCTCTAAACCTAATTCTCTACCACCCTTGATCCTCGGACTCGCATTTCCTCCGAGATAGAAAACCACCGATCCTTCGCCTTTTGTGCAGATGGCCTCCCCTTCTCCTCGGTCCAAGAGTAGTGCCAAACGAGTTTCATGGGAATCCAACCAGCTCTAAGGCATTTCGTCGAGTAGCATTTTGGGGGGTGCCTGTCGCGCTTGGACGTGAACTCCGCAAACCCTAAACCCTAACGGATTCCCCCCCCCCTCCCACCCCACACGCCTTACCAGGCCCTGCTGCGCCAGGAGCTGTGGGGGAGCAAGGGGGATTTAGGGTTTAGAGTTTAGGATGGCTGATGCTCAGAGCCTGGGTTCAATAAAAGGGTTTAGGGAGGGCTCGACCAAACCACTCTCTCAGAATTCTGTAGCCGAAAATGATCCTTCAATTCCACTGGGGGAGCATTCTCAGACCTAGAGCCCTAAGCCCTAAGCCCTAAACCCTAAACCCTAAGCCCTAAGCCCTAAGCCCTAAATCCCAAACCCTAACACCTAGCCTTGCCTTCTTCGAAGGAAGAGCTGGCCGAGGCGGCCGCGCAGGAGGCAGAGCGCCAAGCCATGGACGAGGCGAGAATACGCCAAGCACCAAGGGCTACGCGTGGCAGCAAGGCTTCTTTAGATGATGCTATAGTATGTCTGTATATACTGTGGCACTCCATATTGTATGTGTACAGATAAAACTGTATATATATATATATATGTATTTATATATATATATATATATAGATATACATATAAACGCATGCGTACACGCACATGTATCGACTTCGGAAACCCTAAATCCCATTCCCTCTACATGAATACACTCACATACCCCAACCCCAGACCTAAACACCTTTGCAGAGAGTGCTTGCAGAAACCCTAAACCCCACCTGCCCCCCAAAGTGGCTCATGAGCTTTAGAACACGTTGCCATTGTGAGTCTTGTGGGCTTGCACGGCTTAGGGTTCAGCCCAGATGCAAAAGAGTCTTGGTAGCCCACTGGTACCCTTTACCCTTTTTTTGGGCTCTGGTTCCCCTCCGACAGCAACCAACCCCAAACAGGGTGCCCTTGTTATGATATGGTTACTGGTCTACCAGGGAGTGCATATTTATTAGGTCCCCTGTTTGAGGAGTCGCCAATATTTAGAGATGTTTAGAGAGGGGTTAGCCCGCCACCTGCTGCAGGCCGCCCGGCACCTAAAGGAGGGGAAGCTCGTGAAGGGTGCCGATTTGGAGGCGAGATGGGTTTGGGGTTTGGGGTTTGGGGTTTAGGGTTTAGGGTTTCGGTGTTGGAGTGTAGGTCTGGAGTAAACACATGAGAATCCTGCAACTAGCATCCCCCTAAGCCATGGTAAAGTGGAGGGGCTCTGAAGGATTCGCCCAGGAGCTTGGACTGGCAGGGGCGAACGAAGCTTCACACACTGGAGGGGCCTTAATAATTAGAACAGGGTTTTGGTAGGTTATTATAGTACTTTGTTTAAAGGGCCATAAGGGAATACTATTGGTGATTTTTTCCGACCCCTATCGTATGTGTGTGATTGTTTGAATGCTCATATCAATGCACTGACTAGCCTAGTGCGACTCGCTCTCCGACATCTGTCCCGGCATACCCTTCAAACCATCCAAGCCAGGAAGGGTTTAGGGTTTAGGGTTTAGGGTTTAGGGTTTAGGGTTTAGGGTTTAGGGTTTAGGGTTTAGGGTTTAGGGATAGCCCACTTACCCTGCCTTGGGGGTAGCCTACTCGTTTGGAGTGCCAACGGTTGCGCGGTAGGATCACGTAGCTAAGCTTAGCCCCCTAACCCATCCCAACCCGCGCATATTGTGAGAAGGTGATCTTTACCGATCCTGGTCCTGTCGGCTACTTGCCCGCAGCTTGTGATTTGGGTACGAGGGAGTCGAGTTAAGGATTCCCAGTATTTGGAGGACTGCGGGCTTCTTGTAATATGGGGACCTCTAGGAGGGTGAAAAGGAGAGCCGGAAGTTTGGTGATAATTGGATCAGCACAAAGAGGGCAACTTACAAATCCACCCTGGACCCCAAGTCCCCACTCATGAAGGATTGGCATTCTTCCCGGATGACGATGCCCCGGCCCGTGTGCGAAAGGCGGGTTGAGAGATGTCTGGAGGGCGTACAGTGTAGGGTGTAAGGCAGTTGGGCTTGTGTTAGTTTTCATAGCCGATGGCATTAGCCCTAGTTACCTTGCTCATCCGGAGCGGCTCGCAGCCTGGAATCATGGGAGGCATAGGGTGCGCGGCTCAGGGTTGTAGACGACGCTTGCGAGGGTAGAACCCTAAACCCTAAAACCCTAAACCCTAAGCCCTGTTTGCCCAAGCCCTCGCATGGGCTTCGGGCCATAGCGCCAAGTCTCCGCCCATTCTTGTGTCGAAACCCAAGCGCCCTCCTAAACCCTAAGAAAAACCTAAACTTAAGCCCTAAACAAGACAAAATCCCAGGCTGCCAGGCACCCGCAATCCGAAAATCGTATGGCACAAGCGCCCAAAAGACCCCCCAATACCCGGGCGCACTAAGGAGCTAACTACGACCCCCCACGCATAGAGAGAGAGAGAGAGATGCGCACATACGCATGTTACTGTAGTAATACTGTAAGCCTTTTTGCACGCATCCATGAAAAATATGCCCGAAATCTCAATCAGATACCTCAGGTGCGGCGGGAGCGGCGGGACTACTGGGAGCGGCAGCGCATGCGCGAGGGGGCGGAGATCCTGGCCGTGCCTGGGACCTGTCTTTCTATTGGGCTTAGCACTTCGGATTTCTAAGGGTAGGGTTTATGAGGTCTACGGTCTATGGTCCCCTGCCTGGAAGTCAATGCGGGCATCGGGTCAAAAAAGGACTCGTGAGGATTGTGAGGCTGGCCTTGGCAGAACGTCCTGAGAACATCATCGGTGTGGCCGTTCTGCTTGATGATGTGGCTCGCACTTGTTTGTGGAAGCGCGGCGGCGAGATGCGAAGATCGTGATTGCGTATGTTGACAGGGCCGAATTCTGCTTGAGGCGATGAGCAAATTCATGCCAAAAAGTAAGAATCTAGATCTGCAACAGGACCACTGGACATGCGACACTCCTTGGTTTGGGCGGTGTGTGGCTGTATGCTTGGGGAGTCTTCGGGGCCGGGGAGCAACTCGGCCTCAGTTTTTGGCTATAAAAGGGCCGTTTAGGGTTTAGGGTTTAGGGTTTAGGGGAGCAGAACCTTGGGCAAAACAGCCGTCGCCCGGGAAGAGTCAACTATAGGGCCGTCTTTCCATCACCTTCCTTCCATTCCCAGCAGCAGCGTCTGGAGGAACCTAAACAACCGTCTCCGGGTCAAAAGCGAAAAGTCAATTGGGCCGTCTTTCCATCACCTTCTTCCTTCCATTCCCAGCAACAACCTCTGGGGGCAACCAGCTGTGCCAAGACGGATGTCAGTTGACCCTAAATCCTAAACCCTAAACCGTCGGGTGGCAAAAAAAACTCTTGTGTCGTTGCCGTGCTTTTAGTGGCCTGGAGGTGGGAAACACCCCGACGGCCCACATGACAGCAACCGACATCTTGCCACTGCTGAACGACAGGCCGTTGTGCTGATGACTTAGGGGGTCAGTAGGGTTTAGGGTATAGGGTTAGGGTTTAGGGAGGCGTTCCTTTGGGATGTGGGGTGGAGGTTCGGGTTTCAGGCGAACCGGACGGGTGGGGGTTTTAGTAGGGCGAAAGACCGTAGAGACATACGCTGCAACTGCAAGCCCAAGATCAACCACAGAAGGCCACCATACGCCTTAGAGCTATGTGAAGCAGGGTTTATATTACTGTTCTTTGTGAGTGTATATAAGGTTCCTTTTTAGTATTGGTGAGTGTATATATCTGGTGTCCTTTTGGAGGTACAAGAAATATATACCCTAGGTTCCCAACTCCGTAGAGGGTTAGCTATCCTTCAGGGACTCTACAGCGATTACATGTAATTTTGCGTGCATGACAACGCCATCTTCACACCCTGATCTTGGCAGACGCCTTGAAATTTAAAGCCGGATAGAATGAGCTTGGGGGATGCGTGTGTTTAGGGTTGCTGAACCCTCGTGAGGCAGGGCGGGCCGGGCGGATTAAGTAAGCCTGTTGGCAACAGGTAGCGCGGGAGCCAAAGTAGACCTAAACCCTAAACCCGAGACAACCTGAAGATGTGCTGGTTCAAGTGCAGGTCGCCCTCAACTGCTCAGATGAAGAGTCAGCGTCGAGCAAACAACCCGAAGTTCGTTCAACCCCCAAACTCTTAAGCCGAAGAACTCCAAGATTAAGAGCTTAAGAACTTAAGAACTCAAGCACTCAAGAACTTAAGAACTCAAGAGCTTAAGAGCTTAAGACCTCCCAGATTCAACCGCAGGCCCTTGCGACTACAGTTCAAGATCGGTCCGGTGCCAGTGGAAGACGACGCTTGGAGTTGACAGGGCTTAGGCTTTAGGGTTTAGGGTTTAGTTAGGGCGTAAGTACATCGGGCATCTCAAGCATTGCGCGCATGGGCGATAGTTACTTCTTGCAGCACTGATAAGGACATCAATAGCGTGGACGGCCGGGGAATGACATCCTTGGCGAGGGCTTTGGAGGTGGGCGATGAGGCAAGGGCGTTGGGCCTGCACTTCTTGGATGTTCTTGGGACCCTTGTGCTTTGGTACTTGAGATTGAGTTCTATTTTGTTCCTCTCCCCCTCTCTCTCTCCCTCTCTCCTCTCTCTCCCCCTCTCTCTCCCCCTCTCTCTCCTCTCTCTCTCGCCCTCTCTCTCTCCCTCTCCCCCTCCCCCTCTCTCTCTCTCTCTCGCTCTCTCTCTCTCTCTCTCTCTCTCTTCCTGTCCTGTGACTGGCAATACACTGAAGTCACTGAGGGACATCTACACGAAACCGGTGTGCTGCAAGGTTTAGGAAGCACTCTTGAGGGCGACGGCGTCCCGCAGCTCTGAGAACAGTCGTGCGTCCAAGTTTGTTCCGGCACTTCAACTAAACCGGAAACCCGAAACCTGAAACCCTAAACCCTAAACCCTAAACTTCCCAGGAGGTGGCGCTGGAGATCATGCAAGATCCGAGCTTCACAGCCATCAATGTTCAGGCTTCCGTGAAGCCGAAGTTCAAGAACAAGCTTTTGGGGTGTTCCCCCTTATACTAACAGTCCTCAACAGGGATGATAATTGGGGGTACTATAGTCCCAATAAGGGACGGCTAGAATAAGGGGGAACATCCCAAGCAATCTTCTTAGTCCTACGCGCTCAAAAGCCACGTGGTAACCGTTCTTTTCCCGCAAGCAGGGCGAGGGTTTTTCAGCAGAGGTCTTCGGGAAGGTTCTGGATTTCGTGTATTTCCTGGTAATTTCATGTTGGAGCCTTGTGAAGCCAGCCTCCATTCTTAAAGGACCCAAGCTTCTGAATTTGAGTCCGAGGGCTTCCGAGGGCTTGAGGCGTGGCTTCTTGCGGTTCTCTAAGCCCCAAACCCTAAACCCTAAACCCTAAACCCTGTTAGGACGCCACTGGGAAGACAGCGCTGCATTGGGCGGCCCTGGGCGGGTTGGAGCGGGCCTGTGCCGAAATCCTTAGCATCCTGTCCTCGGCGTTAGACACGCAAAGCGGTGGAGGTGGGTTTAGGGTTTAGGGTTTAGGGTTTAGGGTTTAGGGTTTAGGGTTTAGGGTTTAGGGTTTAGGGTTTAGGGTTTAGGGTTTAGGGTTTACAAGGTTTTAGGGTTTACGGACCTTACGTAAACCCTACCAGGAGGCTTGTAAGACCTGAGCTCAATGAAGCTTCTAGGGATACAGATGCCCAACATGCGGGGCACCCCCCCAAAAAAGACGCGAGAGACCCAAAATGCGGGGCCCCCCACTTTGGGGAAGCCCCCCTATAGCGCCTGATGTGCAGCCGCAAGAAGAAACAACCCTCAGGAAAGCCCAGCAAGAACTGCTGAACCCTAAACCCCTGTAGACCCTTCGTTCAGACAGTCATCAACCCTGCCGTGCAGTACGGCCAGCTATGCGGGATCAACCCTAAACCCTAAACCCTAAACCCTAAACCCCAAACCCTAAACCCTAAACCTTCTAGGCTTGCCGGAGTTCCATCAAGTGGACGCCGAAGACAGGGCCGGCAAGACCGCCTATGAAGAGGCCTGGGAGATGGGTCAGATGGAGGCGCGGAGCCGGGGTTTAGGGTTTAGGGTTTAGGGTACATCCAAAGCCCGTGCTCAAAAAGGGTTTAGGGTTCGGGGTTCAGGGCTTAGGGCTTAGGGTTTTGGGTTTTGGGTTTTGGGTTTGGGGGTTTAAGGCTTTAGGGGTTTGGGGGGTTAGGGTTTAGGCTTAACGTTTCGAATGCCTGAGATGGAGAGAGAGAGAGAGAGAGAGAGAGAGAGAGAGAGAGAAAGAGAGAGAGAGATAGAGAGAAGGAGAGAGAGAGAGAGAGAGAGAGAGAGAGAGAGCGAGAAGAGGGTTGTTCAGGTCTGGAAGTGTTAGGGGAGTTTTTGGGTGGGTTGGATTCTGGATTCAGGGTTTTCGGATTTTGGGTTTTAAGAGGTTTGTTTTGGGGAGCTTGGATCAAGTTAGATTGCGTCTGTGGGCTTTTTGCGGGAGTTTGGAAGTCAGGTTTGGGGGGGTTTAGGGTTTTGTGAGTTTTTGGGGGGAGTTTGGATGTCGGGAGGGCTTGGGGACATTTGAGGGAGTTCGGAGGATGTTTTGGGGGGTTTGGATGTGGGGTTTCAGGCTTTGGGTTGTTTTTTCAAGTCCCTGAGATTGGACCTCCTGACTGGAGCGGAGGGGTTCGGTTTCCTTTGAGGACCCTGGAACAGCCATCGTATTTGGGGGGCTTGCATAAGGGGAAAAAAGCACTTTTTAAAGCAACTCTTCCAGCAGCAGGGTCTTGAGGTCTATAGTCGGGGTGGACGCATCCTGCATCACTGGGTGTCGGGCTTAGGTCGCTGCCTCTCTCTCTCTCTCTCTCTCACCCCGACCCAGTGGCTTGCTGTGCCGCGGTAATTGCTTCCACTTGCTGTGTTGGACGTGTTCAGAAGCAACACCGTCCCTTGACAACAGCCCTATTGAAGACTTCGGTAACCCTAAACCCTAATCCCAAAAACCTATATATATATAATATATAAATTTATGTATATATGTAGGGCGGGCATGCAGCTCCGACGCGCGCGTCGTACCGCAGAAGCCATGGGTTTGGATTTGGTGAAGCTGCAAAAGCACCTCCTCACTTTGTGTGAGCACCACATCCCGCGGGACTACTATTTGCTTAAAGAATCCCCAAAAGAATGAAGAATATTCTTCCTTATATGGGTAGCATGGGGATTATTGTTTGTTATTTTTGGAGGTTCTTAAGCAAACAGTAGGAGAGCGCCTTCAGAAAGCCAACTGATCGTTCGATTTTTTTGGAGCTATGGTCAACTCCTGGTGTTTAAACTCCTGGTGTTTACGACTTGCGATTCTGAGACGGAGCGAACACGGCCCAGCATTGTTCCGCAAGCCTGCAGCAGAAGAGTACAGAAAACTCCTATGTACTTGCGGCTTACAAGCTTGCGGTTGAACTTTAAGATCGTGCTTCTGAACTGAGCCCTCCACAATGGCAGAGAGCCGCCATCCCACAGTGTCAGGTGGTCAAGATCTTCGAACTGCACAAGAGTGCCGGGTGAGGACGCTTCTGCTTAGTTTCCAGCCCGCTGCTTGGCAAGCGAAGTAAGCTGCTGCCCATCATCTTTTATGTGAAAGACTACGATGCAAGTGTGGGCTTAGCAGAACGAAGGGTTCGGACTTTGGGCTGTCAGAGCATCACGACCCTAGCCCGAAACCCTAAACCCTAAACCCTAAACCCTAAACCCTAAACCCTAAACCCTAAACCCTAAACCCTAAACCCTAAACCCTAAACCCTAAACCCTAAACCCTAAGCCAAGTGGAGCCAGCCGTCATCCTGGAGTATCGCTCCGATGCAACGGACGCCAGCACTCTTCAACCGGGTGCACATCCAGCTGATGTCAAGGGGCGACGAAGGTTTAGGGTTTCGGGTTTGGGGTGCGGAGCTGCAATTGGTATTGTAGAAAGGAGTTAGTGTTGGAAGTTGGAAGGGTTCATGAACCCGTAAACCATGTTTGGCTCAAGATGGGCTTGAACAGAAAGCCACAAGTTCAAAAAGTAGTGCCTGGGTTCTTAGGGTTTGGTAAGGGTGTGGATTCCTTCCCCCTTTCCTTCCCCCCTGGGTTGCTCTTATCCGTGTTCTTGTTTGTTTCTTGGTTCGATCTGGGGAATATAAGTCCAGGGCGATTAGGGGAGTTGATTTCCTTCCTTGATTGTCCCCCCGTAGGTTATGAGCCCAAATTAGGTTCCCTGCGGTTAAGTGTTCTTTCAAGGTTTTTGGGATCAAGAAGCAATGCCTTCTCCGAAGCGATGGCTCCAACCTGCCTCGGATGGTGGACAAAATGGTGGAGCTGGAAATGGTGCAGCTGAGTCTCTGGGTGAAAGATCGGTGTTGGAAGAGGTGACTCCCGGCGCTGAAGAACATCTGGAAGAGGCCTTGGTTGCAGAAAGCCCCAATGTGGGTATGAATCCCAATGTGGATATGGTTAGCAATGCTGAAGCTGAAGGACGTGCTGTCTCTGTATCGCCAAAGCCTGGTGAGAAAAGGAACTGGGACGCGACTGGTGGTATAGATCGTGAAATGGAGGTGACTGTTTTACGAGTGTTGCACAAACACGGGTATCAGCCGTCGTCTTCGACTTCGGGTCGAATGGTAGACCAAGAGTCTCAGACCGATCTGATTGGAGAAGTGCTGCAAGCGGCCAGGAGGCCTCTGAACAAGATCAAAAGGGATCCATCTTCGAGTTCCCAAGGTGGTGGAAGCGGTCATGAACAGAAGGGTGCGGACAGCTTTGAAGCTGCACCTGCTGCTGGATACGCCATGGGGGAGGAGGAGATCCTACAGATGGAGGCTGAGAGGTTGCGACAGTTGTCCGAAGAAGAGGACGAGATGCGACAGGTCTCTGAAAGGGATGGTTTTCGGAAAGACGAGCATCTGATCAAAGCGTGCGATGGGACAACGTGGGAATGGCACCTCCATGAAGATGGGAGACAATATTATTACTGCCTGGATACGCAGGAAAGCTAAGTGGACATTGCCTGGTGGTAGGTGAAAAGATGAAGAGTGACGAGGTGGTTGGGTCTCCTTCGGGCAATGAGCTGGAAATGGAGGCGGCACTGGATTCTTCATCCTCTACTCCGAAGACTGAGTCTACGAGGGCATTCCAGGGTAGTGTAAATAGTTTAGGTGAAAAAGATTTTTCCTCTACTATCAGGGATAGCGGTCCTAGGGCTGGTGGTGACGCCCCGACCTCGGGTTCTCCTGATGAAGAGGAGATTCCTGGGAACCGAACAGACATCGCTGGGGCTCAACATCTGGATCGGGAAGGAATGGGAGCACTTTCTGAGGGTGTGGCAGCGGTGGAATCGGTAGGTCCAGAAGAAAAGATTCCCAATGTGGAGATCGGAACTGTGTCGGCTGCAGAAGAGCGAGTGGTGGATGTGGTACCTGTCGTTCAGGAATGTGGTCCTGGAGATTTGGAAGACGGAGGGAAAAGGTCGTGTGTTGCGACTGAGGAGGTCTCTTCGTTTTGTGCCAAGGTTCCTGCCATTCAAAGGGAAAAAGAAGCTTCTGGAATAGCTGGAGACACGGAAGATCTGAAAAATGAGGCCTGGAGCGCCAATGATGCGCGGGTCGATGCGCCAGATATTACCTGGAGTGCGAAGGAAGCACGGGTTGAGGTGCATATGGTGTTACGTTCCACGGGCGACTGCAACAATGGGGCGCAGGTCTCCGCAGCAGCTGGTGATGGAGGTTCACAGGTGGACGCACTGGTGCAACCTGAAGTTAGCCGCGAGGAACGAAATGACAAGGGCTACACCGGAGCCAATGAGGCAGCTGTGGTCAACGATGGTGGAAATTCTCCTTTGGAAACCATGGAACCAAAGGAGCCTGCGGTGGAAGAAAGCGTGCCTGCCGTGGATGATCGACTCAATTGCCCTGCAGTGAAAGAAGATTTGCCTGCTGCAGAAGGTGTGACAAAGGACTCCAATGATGGGTCCACTCCCATGAAGGGAGAAGTGTTGCCGTCTGGAAGTTCGCCGGAAGTCGACACCGAGCGAATTACAGCAGATGAGGCAAAGCCTTTGGCGAAGAAAAAGGGAGGTCCTGAAGTCCAGGAGCACAAAAAAGATGAGCTTGTGGGACTCGTGGAGCAGGACGAGCAGTGTGACTCAAAGGTGAAAACAAAGGATGCGCCAGGAGCCGATGATACAGAGGTGGTTTCTGAAGAGCACACAAAGAAAATGCCCCGAGCGGGAGCCTTGGAATCACCTGGGACACATTGCTATCAAGAGGGAGATGAGATCATGGGTCTAGTGCGCTGCATCAATGGGTATGGAGCCTTTTTGGACCTTGGTGATTTAAATGTATTGATTCCTGCAGAAGGGAACAATACGTGTCATTTCAGATTTGGTGATACTGTCAATGGAACAGTGAAACTAGTGGAAGATGATGGTACCATAATCTTGGACACCTTTCTAGTTTTGGAAGAGGACGTGGAGGACTCTTCCTCAACGCTGCGGAAATGGAAACCCAGCGGCTGGAGTACGTGGTGGACGAATTCATGGTATGTTGGTCAATGGTACCGAGATTCCAACGGTCAATGGGACTGGAAACAGGAGGAAGAGCAATCCGATGAGGAGCTTGTGGTACAGGAGTTATCCTCTGAAGAACGAGAAGAAAGACAACTTTATGGAGAAAAGATCTACAAAGCTCTTCTGGAGAATGGAAACGAAGAGGAAGCCTATGTTGGCAAAATTACTGGGATGCTGTTGGGTCGCCCGATGGAAGATTTACAGGAGTGTGTTGCAGATCAGGCATTCCTCAATGCGGAAGCTCGGCGCGCGTATGGCATCTTGCAAAATGATGGTTGGAAGCCTGATGGTACAGAAAGCACAGGCTTGGGGAAGTTAACCACTTTTTCCCGAAAACAGTACCACAACGCGCTTTTCGAACTGGCATGCAGAAAAAGGAGATTTTCTCGACCAGTTGTGGGTGAAGCGGTGGCAACGGTGCTGAATCAAGGGGAAGATGAGTTTTGGAACGCGCTTTGGTTGGACACCAA